AAAACTTAACAATTTTACAATTCAAGGCCTTGTTGTAATATTGATGTGAGCTTCTTCTTTCTATTGCAGTGGCTCACAATTCTGTTAAAATGGCTGAAGTCTCACAATTTTATTAAAATATCGCACATTAAGGGCTCACTTTGTTTAAAAATTATTGTCATCTATGATATGGACAAAATTGAGGTTTTACTAACCCTTTATTAGATTAGAAAATGGTAAAGAGATTATTTTTTTTATATAATTTTATATATTATTTAATAATTTTTTTTTTCACTCTAGTAAAATTTATAATATTGTATATATTATATATTTAATAAAATGAGAAGGTTATATTAAAAAATTTTTTAAAAAAATTGTTAAAAAATTATTACCCTCATTAAGGCCATTGTGACTCCCACACCGACTAACTTTTCCTCTTATTCAAATGGCAGCTCTTTATATTTTTTGAAAGACATCATTTGGAATTAGAAATTTAGAACTCCATGTCAGCATATCCTATCCGAAACAAAGCTTTGTTAAGTGAAGATTAAGGGACTAAGGGTGAGTTTGGGATTGTGGTTGTGAGTTTTTTCGTATAATCACACAGCATTTTTAGATATATGTGTGTTTTATAATTTTTTTTAAATTGTTTTTTTTATAAGTTACAAGAAGTCACAGTAGATCTACAGTAATTTTATGTATAAAGTCAAAAGTTTCATTTTAAAGCTTTTTTATTGTGGTTTTTATGAAAAACACATAATATTTAATATAATTACAAAATTACCGATTAAAACTTAATTTTATATAATTTAATTACATCATAATTTATAATACTTTAATAATTAAAAAAATTTTAAAAACTTAAATTATTAAAAATAATAAATATTATGTATTTTAATAATTATATATCTTACAATATTTTTAAAATTTTAATTAATAATTAATAAAATTTATCATATTTCATCTATAATTCTTTTAAAAAATAAATAATCAAACATCAAAATAACTTTCAGACACAATTATAATATCTTACAATATTTTTAAAATTTTAATTAATAATTAATAAAATTTATCATATTTCATCTATAATTCTTTTGAAAAATAAATAACCAAATATCAAAATAACTTTCAGACACAATTATAGTATAATACAGTCACAACTAAGCACAACCAGAGTTACAACCACAGCATTTCACAACAATTCCAAATGTACCCTAAATGTCTAGAGTTTGTCCTTGGATCATTTTAATGAATTAGTTTACTGTCATCGTTTATGAAATTCGAAAATTTATTATCCCAAAAGTCATTGTTTTCAAAAATTACAATCTAGTGCTTAGTTAACTAAACTCATCAATTTCAACTTTCAAAAAGTAAACATCTCAAGAAAGTTTTAACTTTTACTCATTTAATCAATTTAGTTGATCAAATACCAGACAACAGTTTCAATCATTCATAAGGAATGGTAGTTTTCCAAACAACTACTTTAGCAATTTCTTGCAGTAACAACTTATGGGGCAATGGTATCCCAAAAACCTTCATGCCAAACAGGCCTTAAACGGTTCATATGTTGAAACCCCAAACCTAATTGTTGGGGAAAAAAAAAATAGAGAAAAGATGTGGCAAGCTCAATGGACCAAACTGACAACATTAGTAATAATTAAGGTGCATTATGAGCTGACAGAAATTAACCTCTACTAGCATATTTTCCCATGTCAGTGGAGAAGTTAACGCTACTACTTTGATGCTGTACGGTATTGCATGCATAAACTACTACCATAGGCTACTTTCAAGCTTCAATCCTGATGTAAGCTGAGATTTCAGCATTATTACATTACCAACGAAATTTCAGTATTTAAAAAATAACAATGAGAAGGTGTTTGTAATTTGGATTATAACGAATTACAAAATATTAGTTATTAAATTAAGAAAGGCATCTGATGGTATGAGAAGATGCCTTTATTCAATAATTGATATTTTATAGTTTAGGCTGTGAAATACAGACTAAAAAATAGAAGTACAAAAAATGGGGCCAGGAAGTGGACCTTGCAAGCAATTCCGAGGATTTCAACTGTTACAGCTTTATTAAGACATTTTTAGAAACTAAGCATCAGCTGAGCAAAGGTCCTCGAATCCCATGTATTCGTTGTTCTTAATCTTTTCAATCATGTCTGCAATGCCAACTCCACCTGTACGAAAAAGGGAGGGGAGAGTTTAATATATGGTAGTAGTAGCTTTAGGAAAGTTCAGTCAGCAAAAGATTTCTCTAATCTTCTTTTTGGTAAGTGTTTGGAGATATACCTAGTGATATCGCGCTCACAAAGATGGTGAAGGACAGAATGAATATGATTATAGATGCTCTCCCTAGTACCTTGATTAGTTTTCTCACCAAATGTTGCCCTACCAATGCAGCAATTGTGGCCACAGCAACAAAGTAGAGAGCTGTGTCAGATTGAAAATGACAGGTAAATTAGCTGTTATTTGAGGGAAGAATAGTTTATCAGACAAACAAATGCAAGTTCAGACAACCATAGTGTGGACGTGGGGTCCTAGAACGTGAACGTGGGGTCCTTGAATGTGGAAATTGATTTCATGTTTGACGTACCATAAGGAACTGGAAATCTATTTAGCAGGTAATACTCTACAACAGACATTGATGCTGAAAATGTCATGGCAAAGGTGGCTGTGGCACTTGACACCTACATGGAAGTTGTAAACAAGTCAGTCTATGTATGTCACTTACATTGTACGTAGGCAACACTTTTAAACAAGTCCGTCTATAATGCACCTGTGGAGGGATTCCCAATTCCAGAAAAAGTGGTCCTAAGATAAATCCTCCTCCAAGACCAAGCAACCCACCAACTACACCAGCTAAAACACCACAAGCACAATAAAGAATAAGCTGGTGAACTTTCCAGTTTGTGCCTTCGTCCCCCTTTGATTCTATCTTTGTCCATCCTTTGTACAGGCCAATGGCCTCATATGATGATACTGAAAGAGCAACCGGGATCTGGAAGAAAGGAAAGATAACATTAATAAGGCTTTGGAAGTAGAATTGGCATGAATTCACTAAAAAATGCTGAAAATGGGGAACTTTGCGTAGTTTGCTTGTTACCTGCAATAGATTTAAAGCCCAGTATGCAACCGAACAGGTCGTAGAGTAATTCTGTGGCACAAGATGTAGCATTCCTGTTAATTGGGTTGGACTTTGGATGAATGATAATAAAGGCAACAACCATAGAGAGTAAAAACCTTAGCAATCTCCAATCCAAGGATTATACTCCAAACGGCAACAAGAACTCCAAGTGCCTTCCAGTTAACATTGTCAATAATAGAGACCTGAGAACAACTTTGGTCAGTTATAAGAACGATAATGGCAAAACAGCATGTGGACGTTTTCCCACCTCTGACGGCTCAGATTGCTTGGTTTCTGGTTGAGTACCACTGGTCGGGCCTCCAGACAGAGGTCTGTATTCTGCTTCACCACTAGCATCATCTAATTAAAGAACAAATTAGCCTGGAAGAAGAATTTCCATGATACTGAACATCAGTATCTAAATTATCTATCCTAAAGGCCACAGAAGAATGAATTCTGAACAGATTACCATTTAGCTCTAACCGTCTTGCAGCCTCCTGAAAAATCAGAAACACACGAACTGAACTGATCGAAATTAAGTTGAACTATAGTTTGTCATCCTCAAAAATGAGAAATGTAAGAGTACCTTTTTCATTATGGTTTCCTTTTTCCATGTTTCAACACCCTTGAGGAATGCCTTACTTGACATGACTGCAGGTCACTAAAGCCTGTTAGGAAAGGTCATATGAAAAGAGAAAATGCTGAAAGATTCCAGAACTCATAATATTACTACCTAAGAAGATGATGATTAACAAAACTGTAATCATCCAGTCAGCAAGTACCACATTCAATGCAACTCCAATGCTGATTCCCAACACCAACACTGGTTGAAATAGAAGTGCTAGATCATAGTCTATGATTGGCATTTCAAGTGTTGGATGCCTCATCTTTAAATTGTAGACGATTGTTGCAGCTGCTCCTCCGGTGATCATACCTAACCACACAAACACAAGCAATCACCCCATGATATTCTAATGTTACAAATAAGTTCTAGCAGATCATTAAACTTTGCATATTTATCAGTGCATTTGGACCGTTGACAACAAAGGCACCAACCATGAGTCAATAAAATGCTTAAAACTAGGAGCTAATTAAGCCTCAATTCAGTGATCAGAAGACAGGCTAAGGCTCATAATGTGGGCAAATTGAACATGAATTTTGAAACTTGACTACAAATTGAACTGGAAAGGTAATGAACATTGACATACAAAAGCACGAAGGGTGGATTCTCTTACATTTTGAAATTGCAGTTGATGATTTTGCATCAAATCCAATAATCAAGGTAAGCATAGGTACAAAAATGCCACCCCCACCAACTCCTCCTACAGTTCCAAAAGCTGCTCCAAAGAATCCAATTATTGTACCCACTATAATTCTCCATCCAAATTTCATTGTCTGCAAACCAAAATCCAGATATTACATAAACTACTCTAAGATTTAAGGTAACAAGAAATCTACTATGATACCATACATTACAGAAACAAGAATGGAATGAAGAGTTAACTTACAGGCCAGACACGTTCATAACCCAGCCGACCTTTTTGCCACCAGAAATTCAAAGATCTCACAAGAGAATCATATTCAACAACTTCCTGAGTCTGGTTGTACCTTGAAACTTGTTGTATCAAATTTGCTTCTGCCATAACAAGCATTTGAGCAACAAGAAGAAAACCCATCAAGACTGCTCCCATCAACCTCACATCCCACTGTTTCATCCAAATCCCAGCCATCAGAGTCCTTAATTCTCCTCCAAAATAATCAAACTTCTTAACACAAAATTGAACCCAAAGCCCTCCAGAACTCAAGTTTTATGTCTATCCTCCAACTAGGAAGGCTATAAACTCAGGGTGCCATTTATAACCTATAGGACAGATTAACTTTGAAAAGTAGCTCCATAATAACTCCGTATTGGTCCTGTTAAGAAATGGTCTTGTCTTGGTATATACGTCTGTCCTTTTCTACACCAGTAATTTTTCTAGCACT